TTTTTTTTTTTTTTTTTTTTTTTTTTTTTTTTTTTTTCTCTTTTTCTCAATTCAATCTTTGGTGGTCTTCCCTCCATCCCCAGACTATTCAGATGAAATTTAAAAAATTTTGCTTTGTTATATTTGGTGAATGGTATCATCCCCCTCTGGGGGAATTTTGCTCGAAATCTGTTAGAAGGATGCAGATGGAGGATATTTCGGGGGGGAGGGTATTTGAAAAATAAGTAAAAATGGCAGTAGAGATGAATACTTTGTTTTGTCTGCTCAGTCATGAGGACTTAGGCATGTAACTTAGTAGATGTCTGTCTGTAGTGCTCCTTCTGAAAGGCTGAGCATCCAGGCCTGTGTCGATGAGCTCTCTTTCTTAAACCTCCCAGGTTCTCCTGCGCTGCCCAATAGCATGGTGTATTTTGGAAGCTCTCAGGATGAGGAAGACGTTGAGGAGGAAGATGATGAGACAGAAGACATCAAAACAGCCACCAACAATGCTTCATCTTCATGCCAGTCAACCCCCAGGAAAGGAAAAACCCACAAGCACGTCCACAATGGGCATGGTAGGTTCAGTGTCGATGTTGAGTTAAAAAAGAGAGAAAGAAAAAGATATAAAGCCCTGGCCCGTGTGGCTCAGTTGGTTGGATGTCCTGTGCACTAAGAGGTTGCCGGTTTAATTCCTGGTCTGGGCCCCTGGCCTGGGTTTCAGGCTCGATTCCCGGTAGGGGGCATGCAGGAGGCAGCCGATGCATGTTTATCTCCTTTTCCCTTCTCTCTCTCTCTCTCAAATCAATAAAAACATATTGAGGGGGGAGAAAAAAAATCCAAAGCTTTGGGTGAGAGAGCTGGAACAGATCATCTGTTGAGAAGATGGCGATGAAGGCTGATAGCTTGTTAGTGGTAAAGCTAGTTCTCTAAGTGTACTTCTCTAAGTGCAGGGCACTTTAAGGCAAAGAGATTAGTATAACAGTATAGTCAAATTTGTTCTAGATGAATAGATTGTCAAGATGAGTATAGGTATTGTTATGTTGTGGAGATGATGATAAATTCCATAAGAGCTGCAGATACTAGGAATCGGAAGAGATTTCATCCAATTGGGTGGTCAAGATTTCATGAAGAAAGTTTTGTGATCAGTTTACTGTGATTTTAGCAGGTGGACGTAGTGTAGAAAGGAAACCCCAGGCTTACCCAGGACCTGCCCTAGCCAACTTACTTGTTCTGTCTGGAGTTTAGAGGAGGCCTTCTTCACGTTTAGAAAACAACTTTTCTGTTTCTGAGAGCACCTGCCAAGCTCCAAGCTTGATTAGATTTTCCAGGTGCCGATGCCTAATTGCTTCCTAATGAACAGTGGGCTGGTGTCAGAGGGCATCCGAGCCGTGCAGTGAGCTGTTGGACTTGCCACTCTCCAGAATGCATTAGAGGGCCCAGAGTGTGACACCTGCCACATAGGTGGCCCACGGTGCTCTTGTCTTGTGCCACACCTACCCCTCACCCACCATTTTGTGATTTTAGAGGTGCCTGACGAGCATCAGCATCATTCTTGAGATTAAAGTGTGGAAAGACAAGGTGGGGCACAGTTTGTGAATGAGGCGAGGGCTCTTTCTTTCTCTGCCATGCCTAATTTTCCAAAAAGTAAAACCTAGAGACAGTATCTCCATTTCCTTCCGGTTTCTGACTTGGGTGAAGAATGGGCAAGTGTGACAGTAGATTTTCTAACGAGTAACCTGGATGAGGGCAGAGTAATTGTGTGGTGTCAAGCTGGGCCTTGGGATTGTTGACTTTTTTCACACAAGAAAGTGGAGAGGAAGCTGCTTTTTCGTACTTCTCTGTGACGGTATTTCTCTTGGTGCTTTTCTCTACTTTGTATGCCAGGGGTGTTGAGTCATGTCAGGAAGTTGAGCAACATCTGCATCCTCCCCCGGGGGTCACCCGCACTGAAACGTGGCAAAAGAAATCCACAGAAAACAAAATATGGAAAACTTAACACTATTACGGAGCAGCTTTGGCCCAAAGGCATGACGGGGCCACATGTCCAGGAGGAGTTTTATTTAGGCTGCGTAAATTTGAAGAAACTAGAAACCAAACTGCTGATGCTGCCCTGCTTTATCTTGTCTGTTCCCAAAACTGGAAGCCGAGTGAAGCAGCAGGCGTTCCCTTTGGAGCAGGAGCCAGGAGCGAACACTCTCCAGCTCACCCTGCGCCCTGTGCTGCAGTCGGTGTCTCGTGGGGCCTGTCTGGGATAGCACGTGGCTTCCTTGTGGCAGGAGCCTGACCCCAGTAGTCTCCTGCAAGAGCCTGGTGTCCCCAGGCAGATGTTGAATTTCACAAAAATTACACAGGACTCTGATGTTCTTTTATAATCCACTGAGGATCCTAATGGAAATGGACTTGCGTATTAAAATACATAATCTGAAATGACAAAGGCAGCATTACCCGGGTTTTAAACCTTGGGTTCACACTTAAGGGCTAAAATAACAATGCGGCCAGCAACGTCTGTTTCAACTCTTCAGAGTTTGCGAAATATTCTTAATATACAGAACCTCAGATGGTCCTGATGATAATGCCCTTAGGGGAGGTCATCACTATCTGGAAACAGAACAGCACAATCAAAACACTGCTCTGTGTGTATTTAGGTCAGAAGTTGATATTTGAAATGACGTAGTTTTTGAAAAGTTCTCATAGTTTGTGATTTTTTCCCAGTAGGCTAAATGAGGTAGACCAGAGGAATTAATACGTCTGTTTGGATTGAATTTGGCTTTGTTTTTCCCTCAGCATTGTCATTGTGGTGAGGTGCTCGTCATCCTTTGCAGAGGGAACTTGGTTAAAGTTCATTGCTCACATTAGCCACGTATTGTATATTCTTCAAATGCTTTTACGCACTTAGGAAAAAGGAAGGGATAGCAGAGACCATTGTTCCTTTGTGTGCTCATCTCTTTCTGAACAGGGACATTTCTCCGAAGACTTTTTAAACAGCATGTCATTGGACTCCCAGCTCTAATGATTTAATTGCTTTTGGATTCACACTGGGGGCATGTTGTGGGAGGGCCAGAAAGCAATCATTTGGGCTGAGTTGACCACATTTCTGCTCTGCTTGGTGGCCTCCGAGGTACATTCAGACCCCTCGGTCTAGGTGGTGGAGGGGTGGCTGTGCAGGACCAGGGCCCTACCATGGCTTTGTGCAGTAAGGAGATGCTCTCTAGCTGATAAATGCTTTTTTTCAATTGACATTTTCATGGGGCATCCTCTTGACCTTTCTTTAACCTCTGGCAGTTTCTTTTTGTTTTTTTCTCCTGTTGAGGCAAGTGAGTATTTTAAAAAGTTGGAATATGGGCTGGGAGTTTGTTTTTAAGAGTAGCCATCCATAGAGGGTCAGGTTATACAGTATTTATTCCTAACAGCCCAGCACTTTGCACACGGGCCACTCGGTGTGGTGATTGTCTTCCCATCATGACTGCAACCTCAGGCAAGCTTTCTGTTTTAATTTTCTTACCTTTAAAGAAGAAATAATATGAGCTTTTGCATAGGTTTTTGTGAGAGCTAAGTGAGTTAATACATGTTAGAACAGTGCATAGCTGGTTCACAGTGCCTGTTGGCTGTCTTCATTACCACCACATGTGACTGAAAAAATCTGGACCCCATAGAACAACATTTTAACCAATAAAAGAATCCTGGGCCATGGAGGGTGTGGTTCAGTGGTTAGAGTGGTGGCCTTTGCACTGCAAGGTTGCAGGTTCAGTTTCTGGTCAAGGGCACGTATCTGGGTTGCAGGCTTGATCCCTGGTCCTGGTTGTGGCACATGCTGGAGGCAATCAATTGATGTGTCTCTTTCACATTGATGTTTCTCTCTCTCTCTCCTCCCACTCCACCCCACCCCCTTTCCACTCCGTAAAAAAAAAAAATCAGTGGAAAAAATATCCTGGGGTGAGGATTAACTGAGAAAAAGAATCCTGAAAGGTTAGTATGTGTAAATGCCTGGCACACAGTAAGGGCTGAGAGATGCCTGTTAACCACTGTGAGCATGTGACATTATTGACCTTACCAAAGGAGCTGTTTCAAGTGTGCTTGAAGGTTCCCAATAACACCTGTCCATCAGGAACATCGGCCCGTCCTCATTTCTTCTTTTTCCTTAAGCATTTGTTCCACTGGTCCATGCAGACTCTTTGGGGTGCATGTGTGCGCGCACGCACACCCTACACCTCAGCTGACCAGCACCCTTCAGAATTTAGTGTGTGAATGCCTCTTCCCGGGACTGTGAGAGCCCTCTCTTCTGTGGTAAGGTACTGGTGCCAGTTTTAGTGATGGACTAGGCCATGTGCCCATGGTGGTGCTTCTGGCTCAGATATACCTTTCTGCCCAGGTGTCATTGGGTCAGTTATTCAGCCTCTTTAAACCTCAGTTTCCCTGTCTGTAAAATGCTGATTAACACCGGCTTTTTCCATTAGGGTTAGGGATGGGGAGGAGGGAGAATGGGAAGTGACCGCTAATGGCCATAGCATTTCATTTTGGGATGATGAAAATGTTTTAAATTTACAGGATGGTAATGGTTGGACAGCTCTGTGAATATGCAGGTAGCCATCGGGCCGTACACTTTAAAAGGGTGAATTCCATAACATGAGCATTATGGCCTGTTAGCGATAAACAGGAGTCTGTTAGGACTGAATGAGTGACAGATACACAGTGCCTGACACTTGAGGAGTCCTGGAGAGGGGGCACTGGCTGCTCTCCTGTGACTGGGCTCATGCTCATGACTCTTCTAAAGAATATAATACCCTGCAGTTGTGAAGAAATTAGTATCATGTGTTCGATTCCTGGAACTTTTGTTGTCCATAGTTGGCTGGGGTATGTTTATATCATGCACATGGTAAATTGAATTGCTGAGCTGTTCACCAAACTGCTCGATATTTAATGTTTTCAGCTAAATTCATCTGGCCTGTCTTAAGGGGAATCTTTAGTCACTTGGGAGTTGTGTTGTTTCCAGAGACTGTAAAATGTGCACGTGGAGTTTTTGAAAGTCATTTGTTTCTTGGTTGGAGGGTGAGATGGAGGTGTATGTGATAGGATGGCAGACCTCTGATATTTATTTGGAGAACCTTGAAAACAATCCTTATTACGATGCAAATATTTCTGTATTTAGCTTTTCTGTAAAATACTTTTATTCTGAAAATTACCAATTCTTCTGTAACTGACCGTGTGAATATGGGCTGCCTTCCAATTGAACACATTTTCAAGGTGCCTCTCTCCCCGTGTGCTGTGAATCTTTAGTCTTGTTCATCCCAAGGTGGGCCAGAACCATGCACTCAGATGTGGTTGGCCATCCCCTTGAATACGGGGTTTCATGAAACCCCAAACCGCAAGGCACTTGATTCGCTTCTCCTTCAGGAGTGAATGTGTGTGTCCCCTGAGTATAACCCCTAGGTCTGTGCTCTTTGTCTTGTTTCTGAGACTGACAGAGCATGAGCTCCCTCTAACCTCTGCCCACTGTCCCCAAAGGCTGACTGCCAGGATGTTTCTCCCCCCTGCTACTTTGGAGAATGCAAATGCCTTGGAGCTAACTGATGTGGGC